ATTCTTACCTCCTACTAGTGCCTGATTCTAATGGGCCAAATCAACCTTGTATATGCCTCTGCTTAGGTGCTGCAATTCTTGACATTCCTAGCCCTGGAAGGGTGTTACAAATCAACAGGACCAGGTGCCTAAGCAATAGGAAATGCTTGGCACATGGATGTATCTGCACTCTCATTCCTTCTTAGGGTACGTGCAGTAGTTCGCTTCATGCACTCTATGATCATGTGGCTTGCTTTAAGCTGTGTGATCATAGACTGGGAGTGGCTTGTGCACACATTTTCTGGTGCTGGGAGCCATGTCAGGAACCCAGTCTAAGTAACCTGGGTTAGGTAGAGGGGCAGGCAAGATCGAGGCAGGGCTAGGAGGTCCACAAGGGAGTTTGACAGGTTTGGGGCAAGGGGGTTGGTGGAACTGGGAGGACTGGCAAGTCTGGGGAGAGGGGGTTGGTGCATCTGTGGAGGTGGGGTTGCCCATCTGGGAATGCAGTGGTTGAGAGGTTAAAAATAGCTCAATCAGTGTAATGGGGTGGGAGTAGACAGAGTGCAGACCTGGGGCTGGTGCGAGCAGCTGGGCTTTGTCAGTCCCGGGACTGTGCTCTGAATGAATACAGATGTTCAGCAGACTGGACTAACCTGTGCCCAGTCTAACTTAGTTCACTTCCTCAGGCAGCCATTTTTTGCCTGATTTAATGTCCCCAAATGTGTGCACAGACTGGCACTTAGATGTACCTAGTCAGAGCTACCTAAGTGTAATATCTGCACGTACTCTCAGAGGTTAGATGTTTGACCCATAGGCTTGGAATCCAGACTGCAACGATGGGAGGCCGTCTAGAGGGAAAATGCTTCTGTCTTCTTTCAGGAACCAGACTACCCAGACTGGGGGCACCTACATAACTGAAAGTAGCACTGAGTTCAGTAAATGTGTGGCACCTGTTGCTCACTCATGAAAGAGGTCTTTGGTGCCCACTTCATGCCCACAAAACTAGTTGTTTAATTTTTCACTCTAGAAGTGGGAGACCTGAATTCTGGGCCTCCTCCTCCCGAAGGGATTCAATCCCACTTCTTCCACTTTCCAGGAGAGCCCACCAGAAGAGCTTACCTTTTGTTTAAGCAGGTTCACTGGGCAGTCAAATGTAAAAGATTAATGGGTCCAGGAGGAGAGCATGACACTGTAGCCTAGTGGTTACAGCATTTCCCTTGGCATGGGGAAATCTCAGTTTTAGTTGCTGCTGCCAAGATTGTTTAGGCAGCTCATATTAGGTAGTCATTGGTTAAAATACAGAAATACCCTTGGCAGCAAGAGACACAACCTGCAACCTCCCCCCCAGACCTTCCTTGCTTTCTTCAGACTGGAACAGTTCTTTCCGAATTCTCTGAATGGGGATGGAGGGGGCAGGGGCAGGATGGGGAAGGGATGAGTGCAGGGCTGGCCTTACAGGTGGGTGACATGCACCATCACCCAGGGTGCTGTGGTCAGGGGGTGCCACACACACACACACACACACACACACACACACACACACACACACACACGTAAAGCAGCCTGTGCTCACAATAGTGCTCTTGCCCTGCCCTGCCCCAGACAATTCCCACCCCAGGCAGGAGGAAAGGTGCCCAGCCCATCCTGCTCCTTGCCTCCAGCCGCTGCCCAGGAGGAGTCAGGCCAGGCACATGTGGGTGGGTTGGCACCTGCTCTAGTCTGCCCACTTTGCTCCTGCACAGGAGCAGTGGTGCTGCTTGCCTGCAAAAATGCAAGTCTCTCAATGCAGCCCAGCAGCTTCTCCCCAGAGCTTTATTTCTGAAATTTTCACTAATACTGCTTCATACTTCAATTCAAAGAAAGGGTGCCAAAATACAAGTTCACCCAGGGTGCCATTTTCCCTAAGACTAGACCTGGATGAGTGATTTGGATAAATAAAATCAAGCATTTTTTATTTTTTGCCTAATAATATCAAGCCCAGTATATCTCCTTATTTTTCATCTCTGTGAATATACACAGCAGGGGATAGTGGTAAAACCCCCCCCCCACAATATCTGGGCATAAATATATTTCAGTTTTAATAAATCCCGCATACTTAGACTTGATGGTACATATTCTGAGTCTAGTGGGTGTCCAAATAAGTTAAGGATCAAATTATTAACAGGCAGTAACAACAGAGTTATACAGTCAGTCTAATTCAATATGTAACGTGCTAAAAATATGTCTTTGTATGAAGACATTGACCACATCTGAGCTCTTGCTGGGCGTGATTTATTTTTATCTCTCAAAACACGAGCACTTATATTGCCTTTTTAGAGAGCATCTTTACTTACATATCATCGAAGACAAGCTTTGTTCTTCTGCAGTCCCTCGGTGCATTGGATAAAGGTGACCATGGCTCTGTTTGGAACTGTGGCTTATTGCAGAGAACATTTTCTGAATTGATATGAATTGCTTTCTAGGCAACAAAGAATACAGAAGGCATTGAGAAACTGGCCACTGAAAAGCAGCTAATAAATGATGGAAGCTTCTTTGCATTGTGCTGTAAATTGCAGTTAGTTTGCTCTCTATTTCATCAGGGAATATGTACCACTATTTTGCCACTGATAGCCACAAATTAACAGATCTTGCTCAAAGCTCTCTATAAAAGCCCCTGGAGTTTCAAGGTGATATGCAGGAAAAACAGAACTGCATCATTAGTTCCTAACTGGAGCTCTATAACACAATTGGGGTACATGCAGACATTTGGGGAAGTTAGGGGAAAGTTAGATCAAGTTAAAAATGGCCATTCAATCTAAGGTAAGTCTGAATAGGGTGGCTAGTGGGAGGCTTGGGGGAACTGGAGAGGCAAATGGGGTCCATCTGCAGGAGTGTTGGAGGGATTGGGGAGGCATATGGGGGCTGAGGGAGGGGTTCTGGGGATCATAGGTGTTAGCAGAGTTGGGGCGGGGGTTGCTGGGGTCTGGGAGTGTTTGTTGGGATCAGTGGTGGGAGCTGGCGAGGCTGGGGGAGGGCTTGGGGAGATTTGGGAGTGGGGGGTGTGGGGGGGGGCGTGTTTGGCAGGATTGGTGAGGCTCTCCAATCCCACCAAAGCCCTCTGGACTCTGCCAGTTCCTCAGTGCTCCAGAACTACCCCTGATCCTGCAAACCACTCCCAGGGCTAGTTTTACTGGCATTCACCTGTTCCATGAACCTGATGGAAGTAAATTGGGGTGGGGGAAGGGTGCACAGATTGTGGGGATTGGCATCTCTGTGGGGGATGGTTTGCAGAATTGGGATGGGGGCCTGGTGGTTCTGCTGGTGGGGAGTTGGTGGGGTAGGGAAGGGCTATCTTCTTCTTACCAGGACCAGGGGCTATTTTTAACTCCCCCATCTCTAGATGAAAAACACCCTCCCCAGCAAACCAACTCCCCTGATCTTACCCACCCCTCCCCCCAACCTGACTCACTTCCTTGGCTCCTGGCACCAGCAAATGCTGGTAAAACAGGCACTGGGGTGGCTTGTGGGATGGCTGTTTTGCTGGGCTCTGGGTTTGGGGTGGCTGGCTGTAGGGAGGTTTGGGGGCTAAAAATAGCCCATCTGGGGTTTGGGGGAGGGCTGGGAGGTTAAAAATAGCCTGGTAACAGGGGGCAGGGAGGGAAAGTGCAGCTCCAGGGCTAGGGCCAGCGACTGGGCTTTCCCAGTCCTGGTGCTGCATTGGGAACTGTACAGAAGTTCAATTAGATCCATAGGCCATAGAACGGGGTGGGCCACCCGGGCCACAGCCTGACCAACTTTTAGCATGTTAATTTATATAATCCACAAATACACAATTGTCATTCTGGTTAAAACTGTATAGCTATTTTTTAACTGTATAGCTAGCTAAATTAATGTGCTAAAAGTTGGTCAGACCATAGCCCAGGTGGCCCACCCTATTCCAGGGCCTATGGTTAGATCAGTCTCACCAGACCCGATTTAAGTTAGATTGGGTCAGCCATTTTTAGACCTATCTAAACTTCCTGAACTTTTGTACAGTTTGTACTTAGATTGACCTGGATCTAAGTGTAATGTCTGCACCTGGGCGGCCTAAGTTAGATAGGGTAACTGTTTTTAATGCAATCTAACCTCCTCCATATCTCCCTGAATGTCTGTACCTAGCCTTTCTGTAATTATTAAATAACAAGTCAGATGTGGCATGTTAGGTCACCTCTCTGTGCTTTGGTGCTTTGTTGTATCTTTCCACTAATTTAGTCTGTTATTCTTGGTACTAGTAGTATCAGCTCCCCTCCCCCAAATTCCTTTTGTTTCAGATAAAAGAAGGAAATGAAATGAAGGAGTGAACAGGAAGTTCCATCACTTGCTGCCATGCATTATCTGATCAAAATCCAAATGATCACTTGGCCATGCCAATTAGGCACCAGATGGACAGATCTGATAAAGCAAAGCCAACTCCCAACATTTATAATTTGTGAGCTGTCAGATTGTATATGTCCTATCCAGAACAGTTTAGCAGGTTCAAGTTTTCAGATGAATAACCAGATACATACAAATTTTATTACAAGGATTTTTAAAAGTTGATCAAATCATACATTGCCTCCTATGCAGAAGAATGCAGAGAAATGCATTTGCTAGGGATCATAAAGCAATTGCTTTTTACTTTTTATTTTCAACATGCTGGCCTTAAAGGAATTTAAATTGTTTTCCAGATACCCAGTAAAGAACCCTCTCAGTATTCTGAATGGACTTGTAAACCATTGCACTTGGATTTTAGAAATGAAAATCTTAAAAAAAAAATTAGGTTTAATCCATGAAAAAAACCTACTTACTACAATATGTTGAATGTCCTTCATGGCCTATTTTTCAAGTACTTAATTTTATTTCAATTTATTATTCATCTGTGAAACTCTAGGAATGCTTAGCTACTTTATTTACAAGGTATTTTAGAAAAATCTCTAAAAGTTAAATTCAAAATAATAACTATCCCCCCACCCTTTCCATCTTCCAAAATTCTGCCTTTTCTAAAAGGACTAGTTATTCCCTGAGCAGAAGTAACTCAAAGAGGCCTCTACATGAGCAAAGACAGTTAAGATTGAAGTTCAGTTTCCTAAAAAATGATGTAAGACTTAGACTATGGAAGCCTGCAATGTATAAAAGATTAATAATAATTTTACATTAAATAGTCATTAGATAAAATCTGTGTAAAGCTATAAACTTCTAGGCTAGAGAGTCATGCCAATTTGTGTTTTTGCTCTATCTTGTTGAATGAATCTTCAAGTACACCATGTAAAATCAACTAGCTTCAACAGGAGTGTGAGAGACTTCCCTTGGGCTCCTCATTCTATAATAGCCTACATCCCAGTGGGCAGGGCACGCCTTGGGGAAGTGAGAAATATAGGTTTGAATTCCCTCACCAAGAAGAAGCAAATGGGCCTCTTACATCTTTAGTGCTGTAGACAGCCAGCTACTAGATAAAAGAGAGCAGTAGCAGCTCCTGCTTCAGCTGTCCTTTGAAGGAAAAGCCAGCTTCATTTTGTGTGGAGTCTGATCCGTTAGGTGTGGACTAAGTATACTCTGAGTATGTCTACTGGGGCTGTGTGAAGCTTTGGTCCCTGATTTGATTTGGTGGAGATTCAGCCCAATTTGGTGGCCAAATCTCTTAATCTGAATTGAATCAGGAGACCCTTTAATCTCTCTGAATCGAATCGGAGCCCCGTGAATCAATTTGGAGAGAGCTGGAAAAATTCAGAGATTTGGACATAGACACAGCTTTAAACATTTTTTCTACAGACCACAAGGTAGCAGGCGGCTCCTGAATGCTGAGATGCTGGGGCAGATGGAGCGTCCCACAGGAGCACAGGGGGCTCTCCAGCGCACTCGGCAGCAGACCTGGAAATGGAACAGAAGCACTTCCGGTCCACTTCCGGGTCCACCGGGAAGCGTGTGGGGGGCTGCCCTGTGGCCCCTTGGCTTGGCTACTGGTGCCTCTTGGGTCTGACCCAGGGTCCCCCCGTGGCCAATCGCCAAGCTGGGAGGGCACGGAGGGCAAGGGGGAGCCCCCTGTGCGCTCCCCTGCAGACCCAGAGGTGGACCGGCAGCCACGTATGGTACCTTGAGGTATGTAGAAAAAACATTTAAAGCTGTGACTATGACTGAATCACTGATTCTCCAAATCAGCAGTGAATCTTCAGATTCGGATTCGGCTGAATCAAATCAGGGACAGTGATCCAAATCAACAAATCGAATCACTGTCCCCGATTCAGGCCAAATCCAAACTGAATTGACTATAGCTCGTTTCACACACCCCTAATGCCTACCAGTATGAGACCCTCCAGCAAGATAGGTAGAGGAATGCATAGTTTATTGATCCTGACTGGCCCTAGTATGAACTAGGTGCTGAGTCAAAGACAGAGGTGTTTGTGGATAGAGTTTCAGGCACCTGAAGAACTTTGATATAAAACATTTAGGCACTTCCATGATTAGCTAACAGTTTGAACTGGCATGTTTTGAGTATCACAATTTTGGACTTAATTGCCTAAATCCCATCAATGTTCTACAATAGGTACCTTACTCCTTTTATAGAGACAGGGCAAAAACCCTTACAGTTTTTCTATTCTTTACTTTCTAACAACTATTTTTGAGTGCTTGCCTTCTCCACAGATTTTTTTTTTGTTTCAAATAATTTACAACCCTGTTATATCTTTTTATATCCCAGATGGAAAACTGTCAATCAATATACCTTAATTTTTTTATTCTGTTTCTTTCCATGATAGGCTGCAGAAATAGCAAGGGCTGCTGTATATGAAGCAATATAAAGAGAAGAAAATACAGCTAGGTTTATATTGTGTGCAACAGCATAAACTTACATTGAAGTCTCCAGGATGTTGCTGTGACTGGATTTCACCCTTATGTTTTTTGCTGGAGGAGACGGAAGGTAACAGACTGCTGCCATTAGGTCTACTGGAAGAAGTTAAATCATCGCTGGAGTATTTGTGTTTTGATGCATCCGAGAGGGGTGAGATGGGTGACCGAAGCATTTTCTCATTTTTATTTATTGGTATTGCCAAGCTGGAAATGGAAATTACAGCAATGGAGTGTCACAAAGATTCCTTTGAAAAAGGTAAATGTTTTATGTATTACCAATTTAATGAATTTAAAACCTGCTGGTAAGATCAAGTCTACTGGTATTTGGAAACAAGTTTACAGTATTAGGATCAAAAGTTAATTTGCAAATTTGGGTTATGTTTCTCCTCTTTTCCTCTAGGGTAAATTATAATTCCAGAGTTAATAAAAAGTCTATGTAGTACCTGAAAAATATAGAGAGATAAATGGGTTGTTCCTCACTGTCTCTTAAGAGAGAGTTGAAAAAGAAGATTAGCCTTTAAAGTGTAAGTTTAGGCTATTGAACTCTATTTCACAATTACAGGTGACAATTTATAGGCCATGGCAATAAAACCATGTGTAAACTAAGACAGGGAATGTGCTAGAAAATGACTGGGACATTTCTGTGTGTAAAGATCAGGCTTTGGCAGTGCAGTTTACCCTAATTTGGTGCAGGCTCCGAGGACAAAGAAATATAGGCTATTGTAACAAAGAAAAGCATGCAAATGATGGAAAGAAAGAAGTGTGTACCGATGCATTCTCCAAAGAAGAAGGTTACGCTACAGAAATAATTTGTGGCCTTCCATTCTTTTTAGAGAAGCCACAACTAAGAAGAAAGCTGAGCAGACAGCAACAGTGGCAATATGCTCAAAAAAGTTTACTTATACTAATCAATTTGAAGAAAATATTTAACTGAAAATGTTAATGTAATGCACACAGTACAGTATAGGAATTTTTTGAGAGACAAGCCACATTGAGCCTAGAATTGCAATTAGTAGTGGGCAAAGTATTTTTTACCCAATATCTTTCCTTGCCATAGTTCCCTATTTCAGCCTTTTACCACTTTATTGGGACAATTCTCATTTCTTTACAGAAATACTGTAAGACAGTAGACACTTAATGTAACTGCAGAAGTGACAATGGTAGAAAATATACTTTATTTCACCATATCACTTTAGAGAACAGAGCTAATTAAATGTGCTCTTACCACATGTATGTTCATTTATCTTGCAAGGCTTTAAAAACTAGAGGTTGGAGAAGCCATAGATCATAATTTAGAACCTTTTAGACCTTCATTGGTTCTATAATGTAGTATTTTTAAAGTATGGCTTAAGTAATTTTGTTTTAATGAGCAACACTTTTGATGAAAGTGAGAGTCAGGGTAAGTAAATGGACAGTCACAATCTTCTTGTAAGAAAAATAAAGTATTTAAATGTTAATTTGGTATGTGTAGGAACCTCTAGCTGATGTTGTAATTTTTCTTCCTCTTTTCAAATAGGAACCTTGTCCTATGTGGCAAAAAACCAGGTTCATACATCATACATCATTAGTCTAGGGAAGAAAAGACTGAAAGGGGATTTCATAGCATCCTTCAAGTACCTGAAGGGTGGTTCACCCAAAGAGGATGGAGGTAGAGTGTTCTTAGTGGTGGCAGATGACAGAACAAGGAGCAACGGTCTCAAGTTGCAGCAAGGGAAGTTTAGGCTAGATACTAGGAAAAAATTTCTGACTAGGAGGGTAGTAAAACACCTGAACAGGTTACCCAGATTGGTTGGGGAATCCCCATCCTTGGAGGTTTTTAAGACCTGGCTAGACAAAACCTTGGCTAGGATGATCTAGTTGGGGATGGTTCTGCTTTGAGCAGGGGGTTGGACTAGATCAGAGGTTCCCAACCCCTGGGCCACAGCCTGGTACCAGGCCGTGAAGTGTTGGCTGCCGGTCTGCAGGAGGATTGGCTGCCGGACCGGAAGTCTGGAAGTGACTGCCAGACTGCGGAGCAGCAGCCAACCCTTTTTTATAGTAAGTATGCTTTATACTAAGTATAAAAAAGGGTTGGCTGCCACTCCGCAGTATGCTGGTCACTTCCAGACTGCAGTTTGCTGGTCCTCATTTTGCCGGTCCATGGTCACTTCTGGTCTGTGGACCGTTTTGTGGTCACTTCCAGTACACAGTTTGCCAGTCCACGATCTAAAAAGTTTGGGAACCCCTGGGCTAGATGACCTGGTGAGGTTGTGTCCAACCTTAATTTTCTATGATTCCCAGGGACTAAGGCTAACATAACCAGAAGGTACTGCAGCCTCTTTGGCACTACTACTACTTGAAGAAGGATTATCAAGTGGCTAGATGTTAGGGTGCAACTGGGGAGACTTAGGTTTGATTTCCCACTGCGCTACAGACTTTATACATGACCTTAGGCAAACTGCTTAGGGTATATCTACACTGCAGACTTCAGCACTGCAGACACCCAAAGTACAAAAAACAGTTTAGTTGCAGCAACACGAGGTAATTTGTCCATGCTGCTGAGGCCAGACTTTTCTTCATGCCCAGGCTAGCACATTTAGAGGCAGTTCAGTATCACTATACTAAGTAGTAGTCTCCAGGATTCACATATCTTTGGTCAGTCTGTGCCATAATTCCCCACCTGTAAATTGAAGATATTAGCCCTTCTCTACCTCACATCAGCGGTTCATGTTAAAGACATGAAGTGCTATGGTAATTGGGGTCGTATAATACCAGAGGACTGGAGGGTAATATAAAGGTGGGGGCCAGGGGAGAACTAGAGGGAAGAAAGGAAGTTTTATGAACTTATGTGTTGCCCTTTCACTATACAACTGTTAATCTGAATGCATTTGATGTGAAGCACATGGGGTGTGTCCCCAAGACCACACATGTGTGGTTCGTGGCACTGCAACTCACACACGCAACACATGCTGGCATTTTCTGCATTGCTAGTTTGTAGCATGGTGGGTATTTTTGACAGTGGGAGATCCTGGTATAAAAAAAACCCATGCCAGAAAAAGCAGGGCAGTGCATGTGGCTGCAGCATGCAGCTCCTGAAACTGGATCTGAGTGCGCCTCTGCACACCCAGATCACCACTGCTGGAGCCCTGGGAGGCCCCCAGAACCCAAGGTGCTGGTCTCTGCCTCCCTTACCTCACCCAGGGCAACTTGCTGTGCACCAGAGTGCGCATGCAGGGGCATTTCGCGGGGACAACTAGCAGCAGTACAAATACATGCCACTGCTAATTGTTCCTGGGGAATGCACGTTCCCACTCACGGGGGTGCGCCCAGTGTGTTTTTATTTCTTGGAGCTGTGAAACAAACCCTACAGCATAACTAGCTCAATCACTTCCATGCATGTCTGATTATGATAATCACTTGCTCCTTGAGAATGAACGTGCTGTGAAACATGACATTTTGGTAACAGGAAGGGTATGCCTACATCCAGTGAACCACAACAAAATATCCTATTACATGTATTATTTTTACTGTCACATATGTAACTTATATGAAAAAAACAAGTTGAATGCAGATTCTTGAACATAGAAACTCAAATATCTTTTGTTTCTCATGTTTTTTCCAATATGATGATTTTTCAGCTCCCATAGTGCTGAATAAAGACTTATTATAAATGAATTCAATAAATGTTAATGATTGTTTTGAATTAGAAGTTATATAAATTACAAAGTACTTCAGTGTAGTGCACCCACACTATAAAATACAATAGAAAAAGATTTGTTAGGTTTATCAATGAGCCACATATACTAAGCCTTGTGCAACTGAACTGTAAGATGCATGACTAAAATTGGTTGCTGGAAACTGCTCAAGATTGATATGACAGATTGATAGTATTGCTGCTTGTCCAAATCTATGCAAAGAAATAGGTGGATTTTCATCATTCATATTGCGTATTGAGTCTTTTGGAAATTTAGCTATTTTTATCACCATATGGAGTTGTGTGACCTGAGCAGTTATACAAAACTACACCACTTGTAATCTTTAAAGTATCCTGTCCACAATATACTTGGGAGTGGGGTTCTCTAGGTGTCAACTCAAATACCTTTCTTTACCTTTTCCTTTGATCATGTAGATTATTACATTTAAATTCAGATATAAACAAGTTTTAAATTTGAATCTCATGACACTATAGTGGAGAAAAAGAGGTCAAAGGATCATAGTCTATTTGAACAAATGCCCAGAACATAATACCTAAGAATATAGTAATGTCTCAGCTGATGATGCCATTGTTGCTGTAATTATTCGATCCAGAATCTTGGCATTTGAACTTACAGCTTCTTTGTGTAATAGAACAAAAATATGTCAGGAGCTGTTACCTTGTTCATTAAACCAAAAGGAGAACAAACACATTCAGATAATTTTACACATAACATGATAATTAAAAAAATCTGTCCCATTAAATGCCAAATTATACACCGCATTAAGATTCAATTAGTTGTAGAGACTGAGTTTTAAATGATAAGGAGAATGCATACCTATTTTCATTTATGTTGCAATGATTTGCTGTTGAAATACTTTGGGCAGAGGCAATTAATCGTGAAGAACACTCTCGCTCTAAATGAGGCTTCTTGTTCTCCCTGTGCTCCTCTTCATTTTCACACTGAATGAAGAGAAAAATATCATCTATTGCATTTGACAGATGACACTAGATCTGTCTACACAACCACAGGATGCTGGGTATTACAGAAAATGGTCTGTATTTGGGTGTACCCTATCTTACTGCACTTATTTATTCCACAAACTATACACCTTACAGATTTCAAACAAGACAGGTAGCTGTGCTAGTCTGAAGTCAGACAGAAGCCTTGCTCGTGAAAGCCTGTGCACCTCAGATTCAGTTATTCTACAGTATGCATTTCTACCCTGTCTTCTGCTTTAAAAAGATCATCCCAAAAGACTTAAAATTGAAAGAGACAACATTCAAAGGCATAGGAAAGAGAATACAATTTAAAAAAACGTTTTGGGCATTTTATACCCCCTTTTTGCTTATTTCTTCTACATTTTTCTTTTACTCCTCCTTAAATCTCACACCTCTTCACTATATGTTTCCCTTCTCTCCCTCATCGTTCCCTGAATCTTTTGTTCCCCACTGTTCCTCTTTGTGTTCATCCTAAGTTCCCCAAGCTTTAATCTCTTTCTTTGTGTTCCCACAACCCCCTTCAAGCTCTTACTGGTTTCCTGACTTGCCTATCTCTTCAGTGTGCCATGTATGCTTTATGTCTCTAGTTTATCCATAATTTGGAAGGCACTGTGTTGCCCATAATGGTAAAGTCTGTTTCTTCTTTTGCCTTTGTATCATCATCATCATCATCATTTTATATGTATTTGTATTATGTAAATGCAATCTATTTATACAGTGCACCTTAAGAATTTACAAGGCTGACACTGATCTGTAATGAGCAAAATCCTGGTTCCTTGGGTACGTAGCCTCACACCGAGTTTTCTGTCACTCCTTGGGCATTCC